GGGGTTACCACTGCAGCAGCAAGGTGCCCAGCTCTGTACTTAAGAGAGAGCAGGGAAACCCCCCCTTCTGTTCTCCTGGCTGTGTGTGTGAGAGAAAGCTGTGCTGAAGTGGCAGCTTCTCTCATACAACCATCCCCCGCCCCCTTTCTCCTCTCTCTGGCTGACTGGACTGTCCGTCTGCTGCTGGATCCCTCTCCTGTGTGGGGTGAACTCTCTGCTGCCTGAAATCCCTTCCCTGCCTGAATTTAACCTCTTGTTCCCTGTGAGCCTGTGGGCTGGACATCTTCCTTGCCTGGAGCTGCCTGTGTGGATTAACCCTGTGTTGCCGGTGTGGACTGTAGCCCTCTGTGTCCGGCTCCCCACTTTCAGTAAGTGGACTAACCCCGTGCTGCCCAAAAGACTGAGCCCAATTCTCCCCAGGAACCCGAAGTCCCACAAAACCACCCGCCCTTGTCATACTGAACCCTGTGGATTACCATACCCCTGTTGTTCCATATTGCTTTCCAAAGAACTTTACTGTGTTGCTGTGTCTGGTGTGGATCTGTGGACTAAAGGAACTGTTGTCTGTGCCCCAAAAACCTCCCCAATAAAGCCTGCACATTGGGTTCCGTGCAATCTGTCTCTGTGCTCTCTGGTTCTCTTGACACCTTCATCAGCCAGAAACTTTTGGACAGGGAGGTCGCCTACGCCACCATTGAAAAAGAGTGTCTAGCCATAGTCTGGGCCTTAATAAAGCTTCAACCCTATCTGTATGGCCAAGGATTCACCATCCTCACGGATCACAACCTGCTCACATGGCTGAATAGGGTGTCTGGGGATAACAGGCGCCTCCTGAGATGGAGCCTCGCCCTTCAACCCTACAACTTTGCCATTCAACATCGATGTGGAAGCCAACACCAAAATGCAGATGGGCTATCTCAACAGCACGACCATGAGGGTAAGCTTACCCCCCCACAAGTGCCTCCAAGGAGACTCGCTGAGGTCCCCTTGTTGGCACTTGTGAAATAAAACAGCGAGGGGCTGCCACAGCACTCTCTGATCCCCCCCCCCTGCATCCCTGCACTCCCCTTCCCCATTACATGCCCCTGCACCCGCACGTAGTCCACATAAGCGGCGTGCTGGGCACCAGGGATCTGCCTCCTGCTGCGGGTTTCCACACTTCTCCTCAGCCAAGCGCCGAGCAGTCTTCCTCCTCACTGTGCCTGCATGTGGATTCCCCATGTGCAGGCCACCTGGATGTTGCCACGTGCCCCCTTCCCTTGTCCCTGCGGCCACAGCGTGGCCCCGATGTTCTCGCGCTCTGCACCCGCCAAAGACAAAGGCCGCGCTTCCTGTGTGCAGCCAGAGTGAGGGTGCGGGGCTTATCAGACTCCAGGGCTTGTGTTGCCTGGCAACCTGGGAGCATCCTACTCTGGAGATAAATATTGCATCAGGACCCAGGCACAGTCAGTCAACCCCCTGCTAGTGTGTTGTGAGAGGTCTTGTGCTGCAGCCAGACCCTACAGCCCCCACTCCATCCCAGAACCTTTGGACCTCTGCGGATTTAACCCAGACTCAATCCTTGTCCGCCAGAGTTCTGCCTCTCTGCTGTGTGCCAACCCCTGTGCTGAGGATTTAACCCTGACTCAATCCTTGTCCTAGGAGTTCTGATTCCCTGCTGTGTGTCAACCCCTGTGCTGAGGATTCAACCCGGACTCAATCCTTGCACGCCAGAGTTCTGTCTCCCTGCTGAGCACCAGCCCCTGTGCTGAGAATTTAACCCGGATTTAACCCTTGTTGCCAGAATTCCAACCCTTGCTGTGTGCTAATTCCTGTGTCGAGGACTTAACCCTTGCCCGCCAGTCCTACCTCCCTGTTGTGGGCCCAGACGGTGCTACACACTAACCCTTTTTTCTGCCAGAATCAGGGGTGGACTAACAACTCATGGGGCCCCGGGCAATAGGGGATCATGGGGCCCCTGTGTCCTTGCCCAAACTCAAAAAAAGCCTATGAAAAAGGAACCAGGGGCATCTCATGGGGCCCCTGGGCAATATGGGATCATGGGGCCCCTGTGTCCTTGCCCAAACTCAAAAAAGCCTATGAAAAAGGTACCAGGGGCATCTCATGGGGCCCCCTACTGACCCCGGGCCCTCGGGCAGTGCCCGAGTTTCCAAATGGTCAGTCCACCCCTGGCCAGAACCCTACTATACTCATCACGTGCCCTCAAAATCACTCAATAAAAGCCTTGTGTGACCCATTGCTCTCCACTGGGGCTCCTGTCCCACCTACACCTTCGTCACACTTGGATACACAGAATATAACTGGATATAACATTTATAGGTAAAGTTGATCCAGGGAATATCTAATTGACTCTCAGGGGATCAGGAAGGAATTTTTTCCCCTGTGGGAGTAAATTGGATCGTGCTTTGCTGGGGTTTTTTTTGCCTTCTTCTGGATCAACTGTGGGTGTAGGATTATAACTTTTTTTTTTTTGGTTGAACTGGATGGACTTTTGTCTCTTTTCAGCCAGACTAACTATGTAACCTTATCTGAGCATTATGTAAAGTTTTTTTATGAAATTTGAGTTGGACTTTAACTGCAGTCAAGAAACGTCAGGTCACCAAAGTGTGACAACTAATAATGAGACTCGCCTGACATGCTGACACTCAGCTAACATTATTCCGCCACTGTGGGCAGCACAGTGACTAAATGGTTAGCACTTCCATCTGGCAGTACTCGGGTCGTTGGTTCAAATCCCAGCCATGGCACCACTTGCCCGGAGTTTTCCAGTTCTCCCTGTGCTTGCGTGGGTTTCCTCCGGGTACTCCGGTTTTCTCCCACACCCCAAAGACATGCTGGGAGGTGAATTGTCTCCTGTCTAAATTGTCTCTAGTATGTGTATGTATGAATGTAAGTCAGGGACCTTAGATTGTACGCCCCTTGAGGGTTAGGGACTGATGTGAATGTACAATATAAATGTGTAAAGCGCGGCGTAAATTGATGACGCTATATAAGTACCTGAAATAAATAAACATTACCTTTTGGCTGTGCAAAATCTGGATTTTTTGGTTCCTGAAATTAAAATGAAAATAACTGAGTTGTATTATGTGTATTGTTCATTTGTAGTGCATACATATAGTATGTGTACAATATATAGTGTGTGTACTTTGTAGAGGTGGGCATTGTGTATAATTTTACATACGTTTTGCGTTCTTGATGCACGTCTTTAAATATTCCAGGTTCTTTTTCACTTTTCCATCTACTATTTTGTTCCAATGATTTGCAGTGTAATTTTTATCTTGCTTGGTGAAGAGGAATAACTCCCGGGCATATTCACTCAGGTCTGGTTGAGCCTCTTTAATTCTCTTCTTCTCATTGTCATCACTTTTCTCCAGATCGTCAATCACAACAACAACATTGTTATCTCCTTGAAGGAAAAAGGAGTTTCCATTATTCAGCTGCACATGGGGGGGAATTTGGAGTGGTGGCTGGTCACTTGTTAAATACAGCCCTTTTTAAAGCTTATACTCTTCATCCCCATCTATTTAACCGCTAGCCTATAGGACACTTCTACCCCCCTCCCTGCCTACAGGACACTTCTACCCCCTTCCTGCCTATAGGACACTTCTACCCCCTCCCTGCCTACAGGACACTTCTACCCCCTTCCTGCCTATAGGACACTTCTACCCCCTTCCTGCCTACAGAGCACTTATACCCCCTTTCTGCCTACAGGGCACTTCTACCCCCTTCCTGCCTACAGGACACTTCTACCCCCTTTCTGCCTACAGGGCACTTCTACCCCCTTCCTGCCTACAGGGCACTTCTACCCCCTTCCTGCCTACAGGACACTTCTACCCCCTTCCTGCCTACAGGACACTTCTACACCCTTCCTGCCTACAGGGCACTTCTACCCCCTTCCTGCCTACAGGACACTTATACCCCCTTCCTGCCTACCGGCATTTCTACCCCCTTCCTGCCTACCGGGCACTTCTACCTCCTTCCTGCCTACAGGGCACTTCTAGGGCACTTCCCCCTTCCTGCCTACAGGGCACTTCTACCCCCTTCCTGCCTACAGGGGACTTCTACCCCCTTCCTGCCTACAGGACACTTCTACCCCCTTCCTGCCTACAGGACACTTCTACCTCCTTCCTGCCTACAGGGCACTTCTACCCCCTTCCTGCCTACAGGGCACTTCTACCCCCTTCCTGCCTACCGGGCACTTCTACCCCCTTCCTGCCTACAGGGCACTTCTACCCCCTTCCTGCCTACAGGGCACTTCTACCTCCTTCCTGCCTACCGGACACTTCTACCCCCTTCCTGCCTACAGGGCACTTCTACCCCCTTCCTGCCTACAGGACACTTATACCCCCTTCCTGCCTACAGGGCACTTCTACCCCCTTCCTGCCTACCGGACACTTCTACACCCTTCCTGCCTACAGGGCACTTCTACCCCCTTCCTGCCTACAGGACACTTCTACCCCCTTTCTGCCTACCGGGCACTTCTACCCCCTTCCTGCCTACCGGGCACTTCTACCCCCCCTTCCTGCCTACAGGGCACTTCTACCCCCTTCCTGCCTACCGGACACTTCTACCCCCTTCCTGCCTACAGGACACTTCTACCCCCTTCCTGCCTACAGGACACTTCTACCCCCTTCCTGCCTACAGGGCACTTCTACCCCCTTCCTGCCTACAGGGCACTTCTAACCCCTTCCTGCCCACAGGACACTTCTACCCCCTTCCTGCCTACAGGGCACTTATACCCCCTTCCCCCCAGGCCAATTTCCAGCTTTCAGCGCTGTCACACTTTGAATGATAATTGCGCGGTCATGCAACACTGTACCCAAAAGACATTTTTATCATTTTTTTGTGACAGATAGAGCTCTATTTTGGTGGTATTTAATCACCTCAGGGTTTTTTATTTTTTCTTAAACAAACCAAGAACCACTGAAAATTTTGAAAAAAAAAATGTTTTTTTCTTAGTTTTTGTTATAAAAGTTTGTAAATAAGTGATTTTTTCTCCTTCACTGATGTGCGCTAATGAGGCTGCAGTGATGGGCACTGATAAGATGCACTGATGGACACTGATAGGTGGCACTGATGGGCACTGATGAGGGGGCACTGGTAGGTGGCACTGATGGACATTGACAGGCATCACTGATGGGCACTGAAAGGCAGCACTGATATATGGCACTGATAGGCGGCACTGACTGGCACTGATAGGCGGCACTGACTGGCATTGATAGGTGGCACTGACTGACACTGATGGGTGACACTGAAGGACAGCTTAGATGGGCACTGATATGTGGCATTGATGTGCACTGGTAGGCACTGATATCTGGCATTGATGGGCACTGGCATGTGGCTATGATGGTCACTAACAGCTGACACTGATGGACACTGACAGGTGGCACTTCTGGGGCCACACTGATCATCAGGGCACACTGATCATCAGTGCCCTGATGATCATTGTACATGTCCCCTCCGCAGAATGCCGATTACCGGCTCTCCTCTCCCGTCAGCGTGACAGCTCGAGAGGAGAGAAATGCCGATAACCGGCATTTCCGTGTTTACATGTGATCAGCTGTGATTGGAGACAGCTGATCACATGACCAAGCCGACATCTTCAGCTCTTTCCGTGGATCGGTGATCCACTGTGTCCACGGGACACAGAGCACCACTGATCGCCGCGCTGCGCGCTCCCTGTGCCGCGCATGCGTGGTGAGAATGGCAGGATGTCAAAAGACAGCCTATCAGATTGAGAGAAAAACAAACGAAACCAGCGCTCCAATCTTCATGCAAACCAAGGATATGTCAAATGCCAACCGAAGAGGTGCTGCCCTTCTGAGATCGGGAAATCTGACCACTGATGAATAAAAACAAACAAGGGCGCACTCTAATCGTGCATTACCGTGGTTGTTTATCAGAACGAGAGAACCACCTTGCGCCCTTCATTGGACTATATGGCAGGCAGGAGGTGGTTAAAGACAAGATAAAATAACAAAATCAAAACTGCACCAAAGCTCCAAATACTCAACTGAGCCTGCGGTCACACACAGTGCCGGGTCTCAGATATTTTTTTTTCCACCGTCCTTCCAACACTGTGCCTTGTTACTGTAATGCAGATTTGTATTTAACCACCATATGGCTGCATTAGGTATTACTGTTCATCTCAGCCTTAAAGTGTTACTAAACCCCCAACAGTACAATCAGTCTGTAGATGCAGTAACACATGCTTGTTATACTCACTGTGGAACCTAAGGGGTTAATCCTCTGCATTGTGTAAAAAACACTGTTTGATCCTGACTTCTCTGATCCTCCCCTTCTTCCAGTGTCCCCCTCTTATCTCCAGATAAGTCATATCCTGTGGAGTCACTCTGCACATGCTCAGTTTGGTGTGTATTGCTAGAGAGGCTTTTGAGAGGGGTTCTGTATCCTCCTAAAGCAGAAAGAAAACTCCTCCTAAAAGCTTCAACCAGTGCTCTGCTGGACACTGATAGAAGTCACAAGACTACTCTAACTTCTGATGAGAAAATGTATTTAGCAGTTTATATATACTAAAATAATTGAATTTCCATGTTCTGTGTACTGTGGGAGACCGGATATAGTGAATGCGGGGTCCGGGGAGAGCGGATATAGTGAATGCAGGGTCTGGGGAGAGCGGATATAGTGAATGCAGAGTCCGGGGAGAGCGGATATAGTGAATGCGAGGTCCGGGGAGAGCGGATATAGTGAATGCGGGGTCCGGGGAAAGCGGATATAGTGAATGCGGGGTCCAGGAAGAGCAGCTATAGTGAATGCAGGGTCCGGGGATAGAGGATATAGTGAATGCAGGGTCCGTGGAGAGCGGATATAGTGAATGCGGGGTCCGGGAGAGAAGATATAGTGAATGCAGGGTCCGGCGAGAGCGGATATAGTGAATGCGGGGTCCGGGGAGACCGGATATAGTGAATGCGGGATCCGGGGAGAGTGGATATAGTGAATGCGGGGTCTGGGGAGAGCGGATATAGTGAATGCGGGGTCCGGGGAGAGTGGATATAGTGAATGCAGGATCCAGGGAGAGTGGATATAGTGAATGCGGGGTCCGGGGAGAGTGGATATAGTGAATGCAGGATCCAGGGAGAGTGGATATAGTGGATGCGGGGTTCGGGGAGAGTGGATATAGTGAATGCAGGGTCCAGGGAGACCAGATATAGTGAATGCGAGGTCCGGGGAGAGCGGATATAGTGAATGCGGGGTCGGGGAGAGCGGATATAGTGAATGCGGGGTTCGGGGAGAGTGGATATAGTGAATGCGGGGTCCGGGGAGAGCGGATATAGTGAATGCAGGGTCCTGGGTTTAGTAACACTTTAGTTTTGCAGAGACTGCTGGGATTTGTATGCTGAAAGCAAAACTTTCTTCACATACAAGTTGCAACTAAACCACACAGTCCATGAACATTTACCAGGTGGTGGGAGGATATAAAAGAAAACGACCTGGAAGACAAGGGGAGTTAGAGAGAGACTTTGCTGGGGCAAGGAGCGGGTGATTTAGAGCTGTGTTGAGCTATGTGGTCCTGGACCATATCGGGTTAAGATGAGAAGTTGTAGACATCACTGTTAAGCTGAGCATCCAGTGTAGGAAGTCAACCTGTGGAGACCTGCCTGCTGCAGAAGTGCTGTCACCACAACCATATCTTCAAAAGTAAAGGGGGGTCCCCATCACTGGACGTTCATTGCTTCACTCAACATTACATAAGGAGTGGTTGAGGGTTCCTGACCCACCTATCGTTACTCTTTGTTGCAAACAGTTGCTGCCATTCATGTTTCATAAGTTTCAAGACATACTTCAGCATAGGCTTCTATGTGCCAGTGCCCCTTACCACTGCAGGCTGCCATCCTTCAACTGCTATCACGGTCTACCTGCAGGAGACTGAACTAAGTTAACCCCTTGACTCCCTGCTAGGCAAAACCCTGTAGCTGCCCATTTATGTTCAACCTATCTAAGGAAGGGAATTCTGTCACTTATTTTCTTCATTCTTTAAAGGAAAGCACACCTGCTAATTCCTCCCCTCTCCTCTTGAAGTGACCATTACCCCACAATTCCACTGATAAAGAGACTGTTTTCTATAATTTAATCTCTTAAAGTGACCAGCGCCACTCTCTTCACCTCTACTAAAGGAGAACTGTGCTAATCATATTGCCTCTTAAAGGGAATCATCTTTTTCTCCACATCTAAAAGGGACTGCACCTTTCAATGTGCGCTAACATAAGGGCCCCAACTAAGCTGGCAGAACAGTCAATCCTTTAGTTTGATTGTGCTCAAGGACTATTTTTCTTGGATGTACTGGTGTGCACAGTTTTATCACATTTGCCAGAGCCTAAATCTTGGCTCTCATGACTGAGGGCCTACTAGTGAGCTAGCCCTAAATTCCTTGTTAACCTTACATGTCTCACTTGGGGTGCAATCTCCCAGTAAGAGGGCTATAGTTTATACACTCAGTCCTGCAGGACAGGTGGCCACGCTTTAAAGGGTATTTGTACTGTGTTGCTTTGTTCCTGTGGGTGTAGGTTGTTCACTAAGTCCTCTGTCTTAGAGCTGATGGGTTAGTGGATGCTACCAGGCCTTTTTGCTAGGCCATTCCTTCCTTGCTGCACAGGTAGTCCTCACTCTGGGGGTCAATGTGGTTCTGAACTTTCCTCCTTTACAGCTCCACTGCCTGGAGGTGAGCCCCTTCCCAACTGGGCTCCCTCCCAGGCTCCTGCTCTCCAGCCTCTTACTTCTCCATTTTCTACCTGAACTCTCCTGCTACTGAGCAGGCTCTGTCACTCTTAAGGGCTGTCCTGATCCCAAGCCTAGCCTCCAGATGAAATTAGTCAGGAGTTCTAGAGACTCCTCCAAGTTTTTAGGTCAGGGGGAGGTATCAGGGAACTGATCTGCAGAGCCTCGCAGCCCTGGCCCAAATTTGACCCTGCTTGCTATCAAGCCCAGGCTGCTGCTCAGCCCTCCTAACTACCAATTGACTTATGCACTCCCTATCTTTCTTGGAGGATGCTACATATACAAAGTATGTTATCTAGTAAGTGAGTGCAGGGAGGAGGTGGGCGTCTTCTGTACTTGCAGTTCTCTACCCTGGGGTGGCAAGGGATGAGGAGTCTTTCTGCACTGAGGCATCTGAGATCTCTAGTGAGGAATATGGACTTATGGGGGGGGTTAATTGTATTGAACAGAGGGGAGTAATTTTAGGTAGCTATAGACATGCATCTGACTCTCCCCTGCTTCTGAATGCTGATCCATATTCAGACAGCAGTCCAGAGGCTACTGACAAGCACTGAGGAAGCAATGTGACCTTTCTTCACCTTCTGTTTTAATCCTATTTTTGCCAATAATTGCAGCACAACCACATGCTATGCACGCAGTTGAGGGGCATTTATGGTGCTTCACAATTTACTTGAATGTGTAGTATTCTGACTCAGATTGTTGTGATAGCGATTTATCCCTTGTGAGACCTCTCTGCCTAGCCTGTATAAGCAGATATAATCACTGTGGACAATCCTTATCAGATAGCTTGAACTCACCAATACTGTGTTCATCCAGAAGTTGCTTTATTCTGTACATGTTACAGGATACAGCAGAATGAATGGTTTCCAGTATTATGCGGTCAAAAGATGATACTTTCTGTAGCATACTATGCAGAGTACATGTGTCCCTGTTACATGTGGTCTGTTAGCTGCATCCATGACACAGGAAGTGCTGAACTCAAGAAGAAGGGAGGAGCTTCATATACAAAGGAATTGTGTCATAGATCTCAGGGAGGCAACATGAAAAACAAAGTGTATTACCAAATAAGGCCACTGGATGGCAGCATAGCTAACTATAGAAATATGCATAGGAAATGGTACAAAGAATAAACTATATGAATTCTCATGTACATTAACATAAATATTAACTGTGTAACAGCATATGTAGCATTCGGCAGGCTTGCTACCCCCCAATTACTACATGTCAGGTGTACTTACTTGCATGCGCGAAGCTTCGTGGCCATGGCACGTAAACTTCTCAGTCCACTGTCTATTGCAGCTTATGGGGCGGGGGGGGGGGGGGTGTTGGAGGATGGCAAAAACACAGCTCAAGCACACATTTTAGCTGCCCCGAAACTGCAAGTCTAAATTAAGCCTTTGGTGGTACTTTGTAAAGCGATCTGTGCATTAGGGCTCATTAACACTAGTGGTTGGGGGCAGTAAAACCTCTCACCTGATGTAAGGGAATTCCCGTGAGACGGCTGGTGAATAGTCGTGCGCACGTGCACAGAAATGCACGATCACGCACACGCACGTGCACACGCACGGTGAAGATTGGCGCCAAACGAACTTTTTAAGAGGTGCCTCTGCCTGTGCTGAATGCTGACTGGTCTTCAGCTGTTCCCTGTTTCCTGCTCGTTCCTGTGTGATTTCCTTGTTGCTGACCCGGCTTGTTCCTGACCTGACTCTGATTCCTCTCCTGCTTGATACTGGTTCCTGACTTCGGCTCTGCTCCTGACTTTGATTTGCTTCTGATTTTGTACCTCGCTGTCCGCCCAATGATGACCCCGGCTATTCCTTTGACACTGCTCCTGTCTCCTATCCCTGCTTCCTGCCTTGCTCTGGTGCACACCTGGCGACCTACCATACCAGCTCTGCATATCACTACTGTTCCTGAATCGGAGGTTGATCAGTCTTCCAAAGACTCCAACTGCAAGAGCTGCAAACAACATCTGCTGGCGCTCTTGTCCCCCTGGTTTCTAGACACCCTCTGTTCCACTTCCAGCGGGGGTCAGGGCTAGTGACACAAGTGAGGGCCGACCTTGTCATTTCAGTCTCCAATCAGGTACGTAACAGCTGAGCTGCAGTTTTTACAACTTCTCAACCACTTCCCCTTTAGCTGCAGATGCAGAGGCTGGGGCTGTACACATGCTGCAGCCATGATGCTTTGGTTTGCAGGCATTACTTATTATTGGTGTTTTCCTAGTAAATTTATTTTTTATTTAATAAATAAAAAGGTGCACTCCGATGACCTTTGCTCAAGTAGATCTCCACCTTTCACAGGTGGCTTATCTTTGAACTAAGGCACACGTGTCAAACACAACACCCATGGGCCAAATCTGGACCACCAGGCCATTTCATGTGGCCCTTGAACCTCTCCAGCAGCTGTGGCACCCCCCTTGTCTCTGTCCTTATCTTGTCTCAGGAGTTGGCTGCAGTGATGAGGACAGAACCCCTCTGCCTGTCTGTGCAGCCGCAGCAGCCTCTTGTCTCTGCCTTCCCTTGTCTCAGCTCTCCTCTGGTCCTCCTCCTGCACTTTCTGCTTACCAGCTCTGTCCCCAGCTTCTTTCCAGAAGCAGGACAAGGTAAGGGGGGTGGAATGTGATGTAAGGGAGGGTGGAGGACTCTTGACTTCTGATGATGGGGGGGGCTCCTGACATCTGATGTAAGGACAGGGTGGGGTGCCTTGGACATCTAATCTTACAGATACAATCAACCTTTTGAGAGAAACCATAAGGCTGATGATGACATTGAGTTTGGTCTAAGGCAACACTGCATCTAAATGCTTGTCTCTAAAGATTTTAAATTAGATTTGGTGATGTCAAAACTGTACGGATCCCTGCTCCCTGCTCTCCTTGCTAGAGAGGAAGCTGTACCTGAGAACCTGCAGTGCATGGATCTTCCTGCTTCTATTTCATCCTTTCTTTGAATATGTACTTTCTTCATGTTTTATGCTGCTTCTTTATCATTACTCCATCAATCATCAGATCACCTGTCATCAGTGAGGCAGCTATGATACGAGACAGTCCCTCTACCATGATTCCTCTACCATGATGGCGTGGTTCCTCTACCATGATGGCTGCCTCCACACAGAGACACAGTGCAGAACAAGGCATGGTATGCCAGTAATGGAAAATAATCAACTACAGGGAGTCCATTTGCAATACTGGTGACTATTGCTTTGTCAAAATTGTTTCTTTTTTGGGCACAACTTCCACAGCACAAGTCTTTTTTGACACACCAAATACATGTATCTGATGTAATATAGAATTCCAATCCAAACTTTTGTAGCGCTACCCACTTAAGGGCCGCTGAGTATATTGGGTTCCTTGTCTGACCTGAGCCTGCTTTGGAAGCTCAATCCCTGCTGACAGCACCTTTGGCCTGGAGGACCCCCTGGCTTTAAACCATAAAAATAGACAAACACACACAATTTTGAGTGAACTGATATTCTAGTTATATTGAGATCAGAATGTAAAAATTGCAAGCACAACAAAATGACACTAGTATATGTGCATAGAATAAAAGTTCAACACTCTAAAAGATTCAACCAAATGTTGCAACACAGTACTACTTTAATCAATTCTTACATGTCCTGCAAATCAGAATTTAAACATCAGTCCCAGCTTCTGAGACGTTTCTTCTCAAGTGAGCTGGAACTATCAAACTGTCAGACTAACTCACATTTGGTTTCTTAGTTATGGTGGCTGGGGTTAACTCTGTAAGTGGCTTCTTTGGTTAGATGCATCAATGTCCCTTTTGTTTGTTTTTCTTTAGCACAAAAGTGTCAAATCTTCTGTGCGCAAGATGGGGCCCTAGTTGGAGCACAGTTCAGATCTTTCCTTGTGTAAAAGCAAGTTTTCCTCAAGATAGTGTAAACACAGAGAAAAGAGAACTCTTCCTTTAAGTGATGTTGAATTTAGATGATATCTCTTTAACACAAAGAATGAGGTCTAAGATTCAATTAGATTGTAGAAAGGGGCGAAGGCAGAGTTCAGCAGGGTTTGATCCCTGATTAAGGGTGGTGAGCTAGTGTGATGAGAAAGTTACTTTGGGGATTAGAACAGAATGGAACTGAGACACTAATGTGATTTTGTCTGCAGTATGCATATATTGTAGCAAAGTCCTGTGGTTTAAGATGTTAATAATTCAATAATCAGTAGGCCATAGTGCAAGATAGGCCAGACAATCTAGGCCTCAGTGTGAATAGCTGTGAAACAAAGTTTATTGAACTGAAAAGAAGGCAATTGAGCTTAACAATGTCATTTGCAACTTTTAATGATCTGGGTATAGAACCCTCTCCCTCGGTCTGTAGCCTCGGTAATGTAGCAGATAGTCTCTCAGCACGGGGTCCCTGTGTTGCCTTGGTTCCTTCATTTGAAGAGTGATGCTGATGACAGCAGTCCAAACTGCCTGCCTGATGAAGTATCCATCCTGCTTGTTAGCGATGCCAGAGGTCTGTGATTCCTCCACACTTTTCTACTGTGTGGCCTGACCCTGGCCAGATCTTCAGAGTCCCTCACAGTCTTCTCCACACACAGCCGCTCTACTGCTCTCACCATCCACTTCACGCCTTCTGGTTCCCTAGCTTCTGAATATATCTGCTCCCGCCCCTTTAGCCAGCTCCTGCTACCAGCATACAAGTCCAACAAAGCTTTACTTCAGTATAGTCTGTATAACTGAACCGCAGAAGACTGCCATCTTGAGTTCCCTTAACATCCTGTAACCGGTATTACTGCAGGGTGTTACACTTTTATGAATAGAATGGTGAGGAATGAGAACCTTTATCAGGGTTTTACTATTTTCTTTGTCCCATGGGAAAGATCACTTCTCTCACATTTTCTCCCTCACTTTTCCACACACTTTCAAAGAGTTAAAAGACAAGTTCATCTTTAGTAACATGTTACATATTTTACACACATATTTAGGGAATAACAAATGTTACTAGGCCCCTCCATGACAGCCAGCGGAGGACCTATCTTCTGCCACACAGTCACATCATTCATTCACAGGTAACTGAATGAGAAAACTACAAGTCCCATCTTCCACCATGACAGACATCTTGTAGTTCTTAATGAGCTTTGAGGGTGCTGATGAGCTCTCTCATAATTCATTCACACTTCCTCCAGCTTTCAAGCAGAACATCTGTATAGAGGTATGGGCTGGACAGCTGAAGGAGCAGTGTGCAGAAGGCTGACACTGCACCTGTGATCCACTGATTGCAGGTGAAATGCTCTGCATGTAGACGGGTGCAGTCTGAACCTGCACAGGTGGTGCTATTGCAGCCTCACTGTAGAAAGAATGGAGAAAGGAGGAATACACATTCCTCTTGGGCCTCCATACTTGTTATTGGGTGGGCTGTTGTCTGATTGGATGCTGTCACCTGGATGACATCTGTAACCTTTTAGTTTCACTGCAGCCCTGGGCAAAAGTTGTGAAAATTAATATTTGTGTAATTCTCACAACTTTTGTTTGCTACCTCAGTTTATATGATGGCAATTTGCATATACTCCAGAATGCTATGAAGAGTGATCAGATGAATTGCAACTAATTGCAAAGTCCCTCTTTGCCATGGAAATTAACTTAAAGCGGAGTTCCACTCACTCCGTAAAAAAAAATAAGAGTCAGCAGCTACAAAAACTGTACCTGCTGACTTTTAAAAAACAGCCACTTACCTGTCCCAAGATCCCGCGTTGCTCCCGCCGCAGCCCGTTTCATCGGCCAGCCTGTATTCCAGGCGCCGGTATCTTCAGTGTGTGCACCTGGCTGTGACAGCTTTCGGCTTCACAGCTCGGTGCCCACTGCGCATGCGCGAGTAGTGCTGCGCTTCCTGAATGGCCCTGTTGCCTTCTGGGACCTGTCATGTGGGCCACAAGACTTCAGGGAGGAAGGGTAGGAGGACAACTTCCATTTCCGATCGCCTAGGACAGTGGTGGGCAACCTTTTTTTTCAACTGAGCCAAATCTCGCCAAAACCACGATTGAAATTTATTTTGAGAGCCACATTTTTAAAACTGCAAAAAAAACATCCCCCATATAGTAATTCATCCCCCATAGTAATTCATCCCCCATATAGTAATTCATCCCCCATATAGTAATTCATCCCCCATAGTAATTCATCCCCCATATAGTAATTCATCCCCCATAGTAATTCATCCCCCATATAGTAATTCATCCCCCATAGTAATTCATCCCCCATATAGTAATTCATCCCCCATATAGTAATTCATCCCCCATATAGTAATTCATCTCCCATATAGTAATTCATCCCCCATATAGTAATTCATCCCCCATAGTAATTCATCCCCCATATAGTAATTCATC